CTCCCTACCTCTGCTCACTCTTACGAGTCTATCCCCTCCAGAAACCTGTGGACAAACGAGCGATGCCTTGTGGTCCCATTGCAGAGAGGCACAAAATCTCTCTCAAGGATGTTTTCTTTCACTGTTCCTCGCTGGTGTAATGAGGTACCTAACTTCATCTGGACATCCGGGCATTGTGAGGAATCCCTCACAAGCTTCAAGAAACAACTGAATAGTCACCTCTTCCATGATCTTCAAACTGGCTCCTCCATAAAAAAAAAATTCTCTCAATTTTTCTGTGCTATTATTTTCCCTTATTATTCCTGTCTTCGCTTTTATTTTGAACGATGACTGAAAACTTGTATAACGGGCATTTCTTGTGTTTACTGCCATCTTATGATGAATCACTTGTTGTTTTTGGCATCTGCCAAATTAATAAATGTAAATATAAATGTAACTAGCTTCTAGAATTATTATTATTTTTTTAATTGTCAAACTATGAATGTGATAAACATTTATTGTGTTGGATTACTGTTTGAGTTTTTTTTTTTTTGCATTTAGCATCACAAAGTAGAATTAAGGAGCAGTGCATAAAGTTTGAATTTACATAAAGTTCTAATTATCAGAGTTAATCATGCATAATGTCTTAACCCACTTGGCAAAAGTTTATTTTACTGCTATCAGAGAACACTTACCTGACATGAAATATCTCCCTCTTCAGAAGGGTCTGTGTGTGACGGGATGTGCCTTGGAAAACAAATGTAAGTTTGATGCATTCTTGAATCCAACTCTATTCATACTCTACAATCCAAATTATTTATCTGTAAAAATGATTTAAAACAACTCCTGAAGTTAAAAAAGTACTCATATAAATGAACATTGACCCAGAATGCTGAAATGTTGCAACAAATGAGACTGTAAGTTCAGGATAACAAATTAGTTCATTTAAATGCATATTAGCATTTTACTAAGTATAATTAAATAATTTAAAACTGTTACCGTTACCTTAATTGTTAGCTTCTAGACATATACTGAGTAAATATACAGTTTTATGAATGTTAGAGATCCCTATTTATGAGTGTCATTCAAGTTTTGCTTCCATACATTTAAAGCTGCAGTCCGTAACTTTTGGCGCTCTAGCGGTTAATAAACAGAACTGCGTGCGTCATGCGGAAGAACATTGTAGCCGGAGCTACTTCTCTCTGGTATTGGGCTACTCCGCAGCGGTACCTACCCGAACCAGTCTAAATAGTCCGAATATAAACACTTATTATAGGTGTACTGTAGTGATTCAGGACAAGCCAAAAACACGGTATGGAAATTGGATTCATGGTGTACTCGCTTATTATATACATTTTGTAAACTTTGATCTGCAAACAAAGCCAAATTATTATGTTGCGATGTACACTTCTGTTCTCATATAAACTTTTTTCTTCTGTGAGAAACAAATCAAAGACTTATTCACTGATTATCTTGCCTTCCATTCTTGAGTCAAATCCTGTTCAAACTTCCGCACATTCAACACTGAATAAACTGCTTTGTGTGGGTCTGTTTATCTTGAAGCTAACCCTGCTGTTTGCCTATGATGACATATTTATGTGACTGTGAGTTATTAAATATAGCCAGTAGGGAATGTTGTTATGGGTAGGAATCATTTACACTACTTCTAGGTCTCTGTCAGTGGTAACCAGTGTTGGGGGTAACGCATTACCAGTACCGCGAGTTACGTAATCAGATTACTTTTTTCAAGTAACTAGTAAAGTAACGGGTAACTGATTGTTGTGAAACATCTAGGCCTTTTTATGATTGGCTTAAAGTGCATTGGATAAGTTGGATAAGTCCACAGACTCCTCCTGCTTTGGTATTATCATTATTGCACAAAATTTGAACAGGCTGAAGGCAAGATTTTCAATGAGTGACCTGTAGGCTACCTAGCAATTTTATGGCTTTAGAAGACTTTGAATACATTGAGAGACTATTTTATGGTGATTTTTTTTCTTTTGTTCTTTTGGAAGCTTGAACAGCTACTTGTCTTTTAGTTTATTGGAAAACATTTTTTTATCAAAAGCAAAGTCATACTAGATTCAAAAGTCACATTATTGTATTTATTTTCAGTCGTGATAACAACCCTGTATGAAGTAGGGACAAAATCAGACAAAATGTTTTTGTGCTTCTTCCAAATAATATCCTGTTCATATGCATATATATCTCAGAACATGGTGTGACATTAGCAGACTTCAAATAACTAGGCTAATGATAAAGTGCATTTATTTCTGTAATGTTTTAACCATTTAATAACGTCACAAGCAATATGTGTAGCCTACCTCAGAGGTGACCAAGGATCTGCCCAATGCCGTGAATATGTGTATTCATTTAGCCTGGCTTTCAAAGAATAGGCCTAGTAGGCCTATATGCACTTGCGCTGTTCATTTACTGATTTTTATCAAACTGATAGTTTCTCGGACTTGGCTTCTGATTTGTCAATACAATGCTTAAATACACAATATTTTCACAGCTATGAGCCACAAGAATCATACTGAATGGATTTGCTTAATAAAATAATATTTGTTAAGGCACTGGACGTAAGCTATATTTTATTAATGTTGAGACTTTCAGCTTCGGTAGCCTAATACTCAAAAATCCGTGTTTTTATAACAGTAAAAGCTCCTTATTCACTTTCTTCTTCAATATTATTATTATTAGATTTAACAAAAAAAGGTTTTCATTATTACATGAAAGTGTGTCATTCTTAGACGTTAAGTCATTATGACGTTATTAATATTCATAATTAAGTTTCTCGTTATTATGATTTACAGAATCATATTTTATACTCCATTGTGGCGAAAATCCGCTGCCATAAACCAGAGCTGTAGAGAGAGAGAGATGTGACAACTCCGTTCACTCCAATGGACCAGTTTTTTTTACAGCAATGGCGGATCGTGGAGCTGCAATGTGATGGAGCATCACTTAACCATTTCTCCTGTGTTTTTCTCCTTCTCTATCTTGCTTTCAGAACAAGAACCACCTGAAGACTCCCTGTAAAGAGACATCACCCTCACAATGAGTCTCTTCACTGGTTTTGGCAAGTCTTTCCCTGCTGTGAAAAAGTGCCAGTTCCCTAGTATGATTACATCACATTTTGTTGGTGTGATCTATAGATTGCTCCTGCTGACTATATCAAGCCTCTTACGAAGACTTCAGATGACCCAACACCTGTGAAGAGATGACGCCAACCCTTCAGAGGACTTCAGATGAAGCTGACTCTGAATAAACATACAAAACTGCTACATTTTCCTTGCAATGTAATCAACATGATCACATCATGTAACCATTGCTTTAATTTGTTAATTGTTTCTGTATATATTTAACTGTTTCTGAATACATGACGTTACTTAACGGCATGATTTGTATAGCCTAATTTTAGAACATTTCTACCATTACTTTGGCACAGTTACACCTGTTAACAGAACTCTTATTTGTAATGTAGAAACATTCATTTTCTGTAAAGATGCTTTGAAACAATGTGTATATTAAAAAGTGATATACAAATAAATGTGAATTGAACAAAACTTAATGCATCATGCTCTCCAGATCAGTAGGGAAACCATATATTCACACTCCTATCTGTGAGTAACTGGAGCACTCCCATGCAGCACAGCAAACTATATTGGAGACTGTTCAAGGACAACATGCTTTATAGTTTATTATAAATGTATAAATCGATTGCTGTAAATAAGTGCATAACAAAAGTCAACATACATAAAATATATGATTAAATGTGTACAAATGTTT